AGACTCCCAGAATCCCAGAACTGTAGAGATATGGAGTGGAATCACAAAATCACAGTGTCAGAGAGTCACAGAATCTCAGAATTTCAGAGTGATGGAATCACTGAATTACAGAGTTTCAGATTCAACCACAGAATCACAAAACCATGGAATCACAAAGTCACGGATTCACAGACTCCTAGAATCTCGGAATCATAGAACCACAGAGCCATGAGATCACAGAATATTGGGGACACAGAATGCCACAGACTCATGGAATCGCAGACTCAGAGTCACGGAATTACAGAATCAAGGAATTACAGAATCACAGAGTCACAGAACTACAGGGACACACAGGGACAGAGAGGGACACCGAGGGACAACCAGGGTTGAGATTCCCTCTCATTCATCTCCTCTCGAGGCTGCACAGCCCCAGCTCCCTCAGCCTGTCCTGGGCAGGGAGATGCTCCAGGCCCTTCCTCATCTTTATTTCTCCGTGTCCATCCCGTCCCCATGATCCCAGAATAGGACACAGCATTCAAAACATCCTTGTTGCTGCTCTTACAGCTGATGACAGAAATCTCCACGAGTGGGATCACCCTAAAATCCCGTTTTTCCCCGTTAAAATCCAGTATTTCCCTGTTAAAATCCAGTTTTTCCCCCGTAAAATCCGTTTTTTCCCCGGGTCTCATTCCCGAATTCCCGCTCGCACTGGGACCCGCCCTGAGGGCTCCCACAGGGGCCAGAGGAGGACACAGCATTTAAATCATCTTTGTGGCTGCTCTTACAGCTGATAATGGAATCCCCCGCAGGAGGAAAGTAGGATCACCCTATTTCCCCATTAAAATGCAGTTTTTCTCCATTAAAATCCAGTTTTTCCCTGGGGTGTTGTTCCCGAATTCCCGCTCAGGCTGGGACCCGCCTTGAGGGTTCCCACAGGGGCCTGAAGAGGACACAGCATTCAAAACATCCTTGTGGCTGCTCTAACACAGAAATCCCCATTAATGGAATCACCCTCTTTCCCTGTTAAAATCCAGTTTTTCCCCCGTAAAATCCGTTTTTTCCCCGGGTCTCATTCCCGAATTCCCGCTCGCACTGGGACCCGCCCTGAGGGTTCCCACAGGGGCCAGAGGAGGACACAGCATTCAAATCATCTTTGTGGCTGTTCTTACAGCTGATGATGGAAATCCCCACTAATGAGATCACCCTCTTTCCCTGTTAAAATCCAGTTTTTCCCCGTTAAAATCAAATTTTCTCTACGATGTTGTTCCCTAATTCCCGCTCCCGCTCGGACCCGCCCTGAGGAGGGGCCTGAGGAGGCCGCGGCCCCTCAGCGCTAGAGGGAAGCAAAGCATCGGCTCAGGGAGGGAAAAATGGGCTCGGTTTTCCTCACAAAAGGAGAAAAATCCCTCCTAGAGACCCACAGGTTCCCGGGGAGTGCACGGAGAGGGCAGCAGGGAAGGGGAATGGGATTTTTGAGGGGCAAAGGGGGAAGAGGCTGAAAGTGTTTCTGGAAGCAAACACAGCACGGCCAGGCTGGATATTGGGAAAAAAATTATTGGGAAAAGGTTCTTCCCCCAAAGGGTTGGGCACTGAACAGGATCCCCAGGGAATGGTGACATTCCCAAGGACAAGGATGCATAGAATGGGATTTTTGAGGTGTGTGCAAGGCCAGGGGTTGGATTTGATGATGCTTTCAACTCAGGGTTTTCCACAATTCCTCGAGTGTCACCATGTCCCACGAACAGCTCTTCTGCCTTCTCCTCCTTTTTTGCAGCCCCTCAAACCCTCAGCAGCCTGGGATGATCCCAGATCTTAAAGCAGGAGCTTGGACACCCAGAGGTCTCCTGGGGTCTCTTGCATCCCAAATTCTGCAACAATCCTACAAAATCAGCTCGGGATTCTTCTGTGAGTATCCAGTGATTTCTAAAACTCATGTGAGCTTCAGCTTCTGGAGACAGGGATTTCCACATCTCTTGTTTGGGGAATTGGCAAATGTTTGGTTGTTGCTGTTTGCCAGGGTTTGTTGATGCCACCAGCTCCCAAATCTCCTTCCTGGTGGCATCCTGGTCAATCCCTGGATTCTGGTGGATCAGGAATCTACCTGTGAGCAGAGAGGAAATGCTGCCTGGATGAAAAAAACAGGAGTGTGGAGGAGGAGGAGAAGACAGGCAGCAAGGAAAAAAACCCCACTAAATTACAGATAAAACTGGAGGGAGATGTTGGCAATGGCTACGTGACCTGTTGTGGGGGTTTGTGGGATGGTGAAACATTTTCTTGGAAAATCTCCAGATCCAGGGGTTGTTCTGGAGGAATTTTGGCACCACTCTCATGACTGGGGTGTGCCTGGGGGCTGAAGGGTCAGCAGGGCTTGCAGGGAGGGAAAAGGGCACAAGGAAGGAGCTCTTCCCACCGCGGGGGGATGATTTAAAAGGCAGATTTTTAAAGCTTTTAAAGAGCCTCCTGTGATGCCTGAGGTTGGCACGAGGGTGTTTGGAAATCAGATCCTGGGGTGGAACAGGTTGAAATCGGGTTTAAATCATCTGCTCCCACTGCTGCCTCCTCCAGCAGGCACAAAGTGATGGATTTCAAACCCATTCCCATATCCTCGTGCCTCCCTAAAAACAGCTCCTCACACCCCGTGCTGCCTCCTCATCCCAGCCCTGGAGCTGAGCTCTGCTCCCTGCTCGTTATCAGCATCATCCACTCATTACAGCAACTTTTTATCTCGCATTTATTTCCTCTCTGCTGGCTGCTCTCCCTTTGCCACAAGGTCTCCACGCTCTTCCAGAACCATCCATTAACCCTTCGTGCCTCCAACGCTGCTGCTGAGACTTTGTTCTCCTCCTGCTCACCTTCCCTCATCTCCCACCTCTCCACACCGAGCTGGGCATTTCCAAAAATCCTCCCACCCGCTGCCCCCATCCACAGAAGTGACACATTTTTCTTTCCCCGAATTTCTGCTTCTTCAGCTCAGAATAATCAGCAAAACTTCGTTTTGGCTCCCGAGTACCAAACTCTGCCATTCCTCCGGGGCAAGGAACACCGGGGAAGGTGCAGGTGGAGATTTGGGATTGCAAAGCTGGAGTCTGATGGAGTTTGGCGTGTTTGGGTTTGTTCCCCACATCTGAGCGGGGCTGTAGCCCAGGGCTGGCATTCTGATCTCTGCTGGAATTCAGCTGCTGCTGATTCAGTGGCCCCTGGGCTTCCAGAGGTGCCTTTTAATCACAGGCTGGCGCTGATTCCAGTCGGGCAGGAGCTGGGAAAGCCTGAGCAGGGCAGGGAAATGAGCATCTCCAAAGGCACAACTCTGCACTTTGGCAATTTCTTATCTGGGAACTCCTCTGAAGTGGGGCAAGGACCATCTGCAACCTCAGGCACTCAGGGCAATTTGCCCCCAAGCTGATGGAGAATTTTTTTTTTTCCCCCCCTCTCCATTTCAAATTCCAGCCCATTCCATGACCTCAGGAATGATGTAGAATATGTTTAGAGACAGTGTAAATACATCTGATTTTATTCTGATTAAAAGGGTTTCTGTAGGTCTGCTAGTACAATTGACTTGGCCCAACACATTCTTGGATATTTCTGTTTATTGTTTTATAGCATCATAAGTACAAAAAGAAAAAAATAATAAATCAGAGAAGGTTTAAGCTTTAAAATGTGCAGTGAGCACTTAAGATACAGCAAAGGCACAGAGCCTGTCCAAGACTCACCTCCAAAACCACCCAGATCCTGGGAATTGTACAATTCCAGGGAATATTGATGGGAAAAGATAAACCACTGACATCATTCCCATGTTTGGAACGTGGATCTGACCCTCAACTGCTGCCTAATGGAAACAAACAAAAAAAAAAGCTTGGATTTCGGAAGCCAAGGAAGCACCCATGGATTGATTGGTTTAACTTGGTTTCCTACATTAAAAAAAAAAAAAAAAAAAAGGCTGGTGAGGAGAGATCTGCTGGTGAATGTTTTGGTTTGATTTTTTTTTTTTTTTTTTGGGAGGTGGCAGCTCAGATTTATCGTTTTTTTAGGCATTTGTGTTGGTTGGGATGAATTCATCCTTCCAAGCAGCCAGGAAAAACAGGAAAAAAAACCCCAAAATCTGGGAGAGGGAGCTGCACTGAGTTGTCAAATCAATGATTTTGATGCCTGGTGTTGCCAAAATCTGTGAAACCCTGAAGTGACACGGATTGATCTGCTCACAGAGCAGAATTTTCCTCCTAATCCACGTTGAAACAGCCTCAAATTGCACATGGGGAGGATTGGGTTGGGATATTGGGAGCAATTGATTCATGGAAAGAATGGAATTTTCATTTCCACTGAATGGAATCACCTTTCCTGGGAGTGCCTGGGAATTGGTGATCTAAAAGGTTTTTTTTTTCCCCATCCTTTATAATTCTGTGAGTCCGTGATTGTTGGTTGGAATTTCCTCTGAAATGTGATTTTTGTCCATAAATGCTGAGGATTCGTGTGCTTGCCGTGATTTTTCCCAAAGCTTGTTCCCAAAATGGTTCAGATTTGTCCCAGCTCTCTGAGATGAATTAAAGTCACCCCTTATCCTCAAAAACTGCTCTTTGTTTTCCATTTTCTGGGAATTTCCCAAATTGCAGAAAACACCAATGAGATCAGAGAGAGCACAGGATTCCCAATCTCTTAAATGGCAAATTTCCAGCTCAAATCCAGAGGGTGAGATTTGATTTCCTTCTCTCTGCCACAATGGAAAAGATGGAATTGCTTTATGAGGAAGGAATTCTGTCTCCAGGTTTTCCATGGGATGTGCCCCAAGATATCCAAATGATCCACAAGAAAAACCTCCCATGAGATCCAGCAGCTCTGGCAAGGATCTAAGAAAGCATCAAAATTCCAGAAATTCTGAATGTATCCAGAAGGAAAAGGGAATGTAGCACCAGCTACAGGAAAACAGGTTGGAATTTCAAACCCAGCAGGAAATTTCCTGTTATTTCCCCAGTGCCAGGTGAATAAATTCCTGTTGTGCTTGGATGAAGGATGCTCTGGATCCTCCCTCATTCCGTGTCAGATCCTTGGTTGGATGAAGGAATGGGCCAGGGCTGAGCCTCAAACAGGGGAGGTGCTGCATGAGAGAGAAATGATTAAAAATCAGATTAATTTAGAGAATTCGGATTCTAAACTTATCAAAGTGCTCAGCCAATCCTTGGGATTTTTTGTGGTATTTAATACCTCAAATACCTTTCCAAATCGGGATTGAGTGGGAAGATTATTCCCACTCATGATCTCATTATAGGGAAAATTATCATCAATCAAAACATTTTCTCTTTTTCTATCCCTTCCTGCAAACCTGCAAACACAGCCTGGCAAAGCCCAGCTGGAGCAGGATCCAAAATTGAGATGTTTACTTTGGGAAGAGCCTGAGGTCAGGGAGAGGTCACTGAAGGAATTACCATAGGATTTGTCTCTCTCTGATACAAAAAAAAAACCCCAAAACAGTTTTTTTGCCTTGCAAAAAAACTGCCCCGAATCCATGTGCAACCCTCAGGGATCTCTCAGCAGTGTGGGTAGATTTTTTTCCCTCCCAACCCCTTCCACTTCCAGAGTTTTTAATTTTCCTGGATGCAGCCAGAGATGGGATTTGGCACAATATTCCATCAAAATCTTCTTTTCCTTTGCTCCCTCCGGGTTCTTCATCATTTTTGCACCAAAAAACCACCAGAGGTCACGGATTGAAACCTTCGTGGTGACAACCCCCAGGTGAACCACCAGGACTTCCCAAGATCCCAAAAAAGCTTTCCCAGCAGGATCCTGCCCCTGAGCAGCTTCAGGATGCACCAGGAAGAGTTTCCAAAGCCAAGCCCAGACTGAAATGGGATCAAATTATTTGGGATTGTGTCACTCTTATTTTTGGAATCCCCGTCCTCTGGATTCCCTGGATTCCCACCCCACCAAGAGGGGCTCCAGGAGAGCTGGAGAGGGACACGGGACAAGGGATGGAGGGACAGGACACAGGGAATGGCTTCCCACTGGGAAAGGGGGGATTTGGATGGGATTTGGGCAGGAATCCCTGGCTGGGTGAGCAAGGAGGGGCTGGAATTCCCAGAGAAGCTGTGGCTGCCCCTGGATCCCTGGCAGTGTCCAAGGAAAGGCTGGACGGGACTTGGAGCAGCCTGGGATGGTGGGAGGTGCCCCTGGATGGGATTGAAGATCCCTTCCCACCCAAACCATCCCATGATTTTACGGCTCCATCAATTGTTTGGATGGAGTTTCCAGAACATCCAACGCCAGGACAGGACAGGACAGGACAGGACAGGACAGGACCCCGCACTCACATGGGGACCCGGTGTCCCCCCCGGGGACATCTCCGGCTCCTCCCTGGCGCCCTTTGGGAGCTCGGGCGGGTCCCGGCCGGATCGCGGTCCTGCAGCTCTGGGAGCCCTGGGAGCCCTGGGAGCCCTGGGAGCCCTGGGAGCTCTGGGAGCCCCGGGAGCTCCGGGCCGGCGCCTCGGGCTCGGGCTGGCCGGGGCAGACCCAGCTGGGACGGACTGGAGGCTTTGGGACAGGATCCGGGTCTGCGGGGACTGACAGCTGCGAAAGGAAGGGGATTTGGGGAAGAGGATTTAGGGAATTTAGGGAATGGGATGGGGATTTAGGGAATGGGATTTTGGGAATGGGAAGGGGATTTAGGGAAGGGGAAAGAGATTTTGGGAATGGGAAGGGGATTTTGGGAAGGGGATTTAGGGAATGGGAAGGGGATTTTGGGAAGGGGATTTTGGGAAGGGGAAGGGGATTTAGGAAAGGGGAAGGAGATTTAGGGAATAGGAAGGGGATTTTGGGAAGGGGATTTAGGGAATTTTGGGAAGGAGATTTTGGGAAGGGGATTTTGGGAAGGGGAAGGGGATGAAGAGAAGAGGAAGAAGGGAAGGGAAAGGGGAAAGGGAAGGAAAAGGGGATTTAGGGAATGAGAATGGGATTTAGGGAAGGGGAATGGGATTGTGGGAAGGGAATTTAGGGAAGGGGATTTAGGGAAGGGGATTTAGGGAATGGGAATGAGATTTTGGGAATGGGAAGGGGATTTGGGGAATGGGATTGGGAATGGAATGGGAATGGGAAGGGGATTTAGGGAAGGGGATTTAGGAAAGGGGGAGGAGATTTAGGGAATGGGAAGGGGATTTGGGGAAGGGGATTTAGGGAAGGGGAAGGGGATGAAAAGGATGAAGGGAAGGGGAAGGGGAAAGGGAAGGAAAAGGGGATTTAGGGAATGAGAATGGGATTTAGGGAAGGGGATTTAGGGAAGGGGAACGGGATTATGGGAAGGGAATTTAGGGAATGGGAATGAGATTTTGGGAATGGGAAGGGGATTTGGGGAATGGGATTGGGAATGGAATGGGAATGGGAAGGGGGTTTGGGAAGGGGAAGGGGATGAAGAGAAGATGATGAAGGGAAGTAAAAGGGGAAAGGGAAGGAAAAGGGGATTTAGGGAATGAGAATGGGATTTAGGGAATGGGATTTAGGGAAGGGGAATGGGATTTAGGGAATGGGAAGGGGATTTTGGGAAGGGGATTTAGGGAACGGGAAGGCGATTTAGGGAATGGGAAGGGGATTTTGGGAAGGGGAAGGGGATTTTGGGAAGGGGAAGGGGATTTTGGGAATCGGAATGGGATTGGGAATGAATGGAATGGGAATGGGATTGGGAAGGGATTTTGGGAAGGGGAATGGGATTTTGGGAAGGGGAATGGGATTTTGGGAAAGGGAAGGAGATTTTGGGAAGGGGAATGGGAAGGGGATTTTAAGAATGGGAATGGGAATTCCGAATGGGAACGGGATTTTGGGAATTGGAATGGGAATGAGAAGGGGATTTTGGGAAGGGGAATGGGATTTAGGGAATGGGAATGGGATTTCAGGAATCAGAATGGGATTTTGGGAAGGGGAATGGCAATGGGAAGGGGATTTTGGGAAGGGGAATAGGAATGGGGTTGGGAATGGGAAGGGGATTTTGGGAAGGAGAATGGGAATGGGATTTAGGGAATGGGAATGTGAATGGGAAGGGATTGGGAAGGAAGGGAAGAGAAGAGAAAGAAGAGAAGAGAAGAGAAGAGAAGAGAAGAGAAGAGAAGAGAAGAGAAGAGAAGAGAAGAGAAGAGATCATTATCCCAACATCTTCAGAGGGTCTGAAAACATTGGAATCTACTGAGAAATTCTATAAATTCTATAAATTTTATTCCCAAATTCTATTCTATCAATTCTATACAATAATATCAATAAATACTGATTCTATACATTTCGTTCCTAAATTATATCCCTTAATGATACTCCTAAAAAGTGGAGCCATGATCTGCTTTATTTGAGGTACAAAACTCCCTTAAGGACAGAAGGACCTAATTAGAAATTGGTGCCTGTAAAGCTAAACCCACATTAATTAATTCTCCAAACCAATTAATATGTTAATGCCCAAATTCTCCCTTGTGCACGTCCCCAGTCTTGCTCAGTGTTTGAAGACTCAAAAGTGTAAAGGATGAAATTTATTTTAACTTTTATTTAGTATAAAAATTAAGCAAAAAAGAAATCTTAGTAACCCAGTTTATTCTGTGAGAAAGATCTCAAAAATTAAAAAAACAAAAACAAAAACAAAACAAAACAAAACAACAACAAAAAAATCCAGATTCTGGAAAATAATAGCTTGGATTTTTAATTTTATTTTTTTTTTAAGGTAAGAATAGAGAACAAACATTATTATGTTGAATAAAGAAAATTCAAAGTAAGGCTTTTAAAATATGAATATAAATAGCACAGGACCGTGTGCTGGGAATCCTGGATTTTCCCACCTCCTGAAAATGAAATTTTGACTCAGAACATCAATTCCCCATCAAAATGCTGTGGAAAAAAAAATACAATCCTGCCTTCAAATCCTGCACAGGACACAGGCAGGGAGGCAGGGACGACTGACCCTGTCCAAAAGATGTCATTTAAGGACTAAAAATAATTTTCAGAGGACTAAAAATAATTTGGGAGCAGCTGTGAGGGTGGGGCAGCGTCTGGAGCAGACAAAGGCAGACCCAGCCCTTTTTTTGCTGATGTTGATCCACCCAGTTTTACTTTTCCCATCGAATTTCTGGGAATTTACTGGGAAGGACTCGTGGGAAGGGCACTGGGCTCTTCAGAAATTTCTCACGTTTCCTGGAGAAATGTGATTTCTGCAGAAATCACAGCTCCTGGTCAGGGTGGGAGCGTCCTTAAAACCTTTCCCTGCTTAAAGAGAGGGCAGGAATTGAGGAATTCAGGAATTGAGGAATTGAGGAATTCAGGAATTCAGGAATTGAGGAATTCAGGAATTCAGGAATTGAGGAATTCCCTGCCCCCCCTTGCACAGACATGGGGGGGAGTTCCACGTGCGGCCCTTCATTCAAAACCTAATTAACTTCATTCGCTGTAATTGACTCTTTATTCTAATTGGGCCAATTGACTTTAATTTCTTCCAAACCGACAGCGAGCCTGGTCACATTTTCTGCCTTCCACGATGAGTAAAAAACTCCAAACCCCTCCCAGGTTCTCTCATTCATGGAGCCAGTGGATGTGCCCTTAATTAGGTGTTTATTCTTATTTTAGCTGAGCCTCCTGAGCGGGGAGCTCCACCTAATAACCCTTTTTTACATCTTCATTGTTGGCTGTAATGTTCTTTATTCCCACCTACACTCTGCACTTTGGATCATTGATCCATTTGAGGGTTTCATTTTAATTTGACTTGCCTTGGGCATTTATTCTTTTCATCCCGGCCTATTCTTCTTCTTCTAAGGATTTGCTGAATGATTTGCACATTAAACCTCTTTATTTAGGCTTGATTAAATGGGAGCCTTTTCAAAGGTCTTTCATTTTCAACCAGGTTTCCCAACGCTACTTTTAATAAGAAATGGAAATTAATTTTGGATTATTCCTGGAGAACTATATTTATATATATTTTACTTTTTCTTGCTCATCAGCCTGGTTTAACCTTGGCTTTATTGTTTTTAGTGCTGCTCTCGTTTATGGCTGTCCAGCCCTGGCACAGCTCCAATGGAGTCCCCATCCCTGGAGGGATTCAAAGTCCCTATGGAATTTGGGGACATGGATAAGTGGAGGCCTCGGCAGTGCTGGGAATGGTTGGACCGGATGATCTTAAAGATCTTTTTCCAACTTCAACAATTCCCTGATTCTCCGATTTTTTTTTCATCGCTCGAATGCTTCCTGATCGGGGCTGCAGCTTAATTAGCTTTGAAGATCAGCTCATTTCTCTAAAATCTGGGGAGAGAAAAAATTCACTTTTTGTTTTTTAAAAAAAACCCTCTGAGCTGAGATCCTTTCACTTCTGGCCTGGCAATGAACCAATTTGAAATTGGGAAGTTGAGTTGGGCTGACCCCGTGGCGAGGACACCGATCCCCCCAGCGAGCGCCAACCGTGCGACAAGAGGCCGGGCCACGACATTTTCTGCTCTCCAGCAGTGCCAGAACCAATTTCCTTGCACACAGGGGCTGTATTTGGGTATTTGGGTCACAGGAAGATGCTTCCCCATCTGGGAGACAAAGCCCCTTTTTTTTTTTTAGCCACCCTTTTTTAGCACAACTCAGGGAGCTCACGCTGGTGAGCGCCGCCTTCTCCCGCCGGTCGTTTGTTTTCCAGACCCGCAGAACCCGTGGAAATTTCTGGAATTTCTTCCCCGGGCTCCTTTCGTGGTGGGGGATGCCCTGTTTTAGCAGCACAAAGAGCTCTCAGTGTGGAGATTTGGGGCTGCTTTGCTCAGAGAACGAGCCAACATCAAACCGCGGCGACCCAAAATTGTGAAATTTTAGGGGGGGAGATGCAAAAGTCATAAAAGAACCGTGGCAGCACTTTGTAAAAAACATGGAAAGGGAATTTTTTTTTTTTTTTTGGGGGGGGGTAGCAAAGAGAAGAAGGAGCAGATAAACAACAGGGTCACTCCCTGCACTGACAGTGCTGTCCCTTTCCCACCCACAGCAATGTCTGGGATGCAGCCACAGAGGGACTTCGTGTCCCACTCCTTCCCTCCTCTCAACAGGAAAAAATTCCGAGCTCCATCATCCCCGGGGAGTGCCTGACACCACCCCGAATGCTGGGATCACACCCTGGGGACACTTGCCAGGGATTTCACCTTCCGGAGCTGAGCTGATCCACGACCCCCTCTCTTCTTCCTCTCGGCCTCCTGCCTGCTCAGGTCCGGGGTGTGCCCTCCTCCCTTCCTCCTCCTGCAGAGAACAGCACAATAATGTCAATAAACGCTCTGCACTTGCTGCCCTGGCGGTGATAAAAATCAAATCCTTCGGGATTTCGTCACCTGAAAAGACGTGGCTTGAGATAACGCGTTTTTATCTTGCCCCATAACACATTTTTATCTTGCCCCATAACACATTTTTATCTTGTCCCCACAAAGAGCACAGGCAGCTGCCAGGGCTCAGGGGGAGGTGGTTTGGAAATTTTTTTTATTATTATTTTTTTAATTCGTTTTTTTTTTCAAGTTGTGATAAATTCCGGCGCTCAAACGCAAGCTCGGGACTCGGTGATTTAAGCTAAATCTGCCTAAGATGTTGCAGCTCCTTAGGGAAATTCACAGACAAGAAGTTGAGCTGAATCGATTTGGGAGTTTTTAGTGAAGTCTGTGTGACCCCAAGTGTGAAAAAGGCCCCTCCAACAAGGTGTTTATTCAGTGTTTTTGTAGCCAAATAATTCTATAAATGTATTTGCATATTTTTGCTGCTGTTAAATTCAACACAATTAGCTGGCAGAACAGGAATATTCCAGAGTGTGAAGATTAAGTGAATTGTGCTGGAATATGGCCAGCTGCCACATTTTTCTCCAATATCAGGAGTAAAATCCAGACTCTGAGGCAGTATTTCTAAGCACTCAGGCAGGTTCATTGTCTGAAGGCGTTCATTCCAAGTTCAAATTCTGTGATATGGAATTGGGGAATTGAAAGCTCTGAGTGCTTCTCCCCGTGTCTCTGGGTTGAAAAAAAAGCACAATAGGAATACAAAACCGTGGATATAAAGGGTGGAAATGGATTCTAAAAGCAGCTTTTATCCTGTAAAAAGCCAGGATCACCCCACATAACACACACACAACACCTGCACGTGTTCAGTATTCCCTCATCCCAGCCCAGGACCATAAAGTCAAATCTTCATTTGAATTCAATCATCATTTCAAACAGGAAGTTGAGGAAAAACTGCAACCTGTCCATAAACACAAACAAGCCAAGAGAGAAAATTCAATCCAAAATATTCCAGTTGGGAATGAATTGGTCCTTTTGGTGGACCTGGAAGTGTCCAGGTTATGATTGGACTCTGTGATCCCTAAAAGTGTTTTCCATCCTAAATGACGCTGTGACCTTCGGGGACAAGGCAGCCCTGGCCTTGTGACTCGTAATTATTATTATAAAATATTATTGTAAATTAATAGTGTAAATTAATAGTGTAAATTAATAGTGTAAGTTATTATTGTAAATGTAGGTATCTGCTGCTGTGTTCTGGTGTCCAAATCGTGGTGTCAGGTGAGGAACCCCGGCTCAGGAGAATGGAAGGAGTGAGGATGAGGAAAAAGGACGGCGGGTCTCACTCCCGGCGCTGAACTCGCTGTTTCTCACCCCGTTTTCCACCCTTAAGGAATTTTTTTGGATTCCCACACTCCGGTGGGGAGCTGGGCTGGCTTTTCAGCAGCAGGAAAAGGGAGAGACGAGCGTGGGGGGGGATCAGCGAGGACGGGGCTGCTCTGAGTCCTTCTCACGCCAGCGTTTCTTTGTCAGAAACGAGGCCCCGGCAGAACAATTACCGAAAGTAATTATTTTCTCATCGGGTAAACACTCCAGAACAATATTCAACTGTTTTTTTAGAGCCAGCCCAAGGCCATAAATTAGCCAAGGCTGGGGAAGGGGGGGAAGGAGGTGGCGTTTTGGCCGTGCTGTTGTCGTGACAAGTGGCAGGGCCCTGTCTTGAGGCACCAGGCCGCGGTGCTGGCGGCGCTCCAGCGCTGGAATCGGAATTCATTATTCATGGTCAAGTGGGAGGCAAACCTTTTGATTTCTTGGCAAGCAGCAGCACAAACAGCAGATGCCTTCCAGCAGGGCCTGACAGAAACGCCCTCCTGGGCCTCTGTAGGCAGAGCAGAGCCCCACTGAAAAATTTCCTGATTCCACTCCGCGTTCCCGATAAAAATCTTGCACTTTCCCCTTCGTGATATTTCTTTGTGCCCAGAGAGGTAAATCCTTCCTTGCTGATCTCTGGAGGTGGTTTTTTTGTTGTTGTTGTTGTTGTTGGGTTGTTTTTTGTTTTTTTTTTTGTCTGTAACAAAATGCTGCTTGGACAATTCAGGCAGAAAACAAACCAGAGCTACCAGAAATCATCGCTGTGATGAATTACAGCACCGATAGTCACGGCTATAATTCTATTGAGGGGTTTTGATAACCCCTTCCAGGCAATTTGTAATTCCAGCCTGTCTGTATCTCTTCTCTATCACCTCACCACTCCCTTGGCTGCACATCTGATCGTTGCTATTCTTAATTTCCCTGCTCGGTGACTGAGCAGCTTTTCCCACACTGTCCTGTCTAAAACCAAAACCTCCCAAGGAATTTACTGGGAGATCTCTGTCCCATCTCCTTCCTGCTGCCAGGGGGGGTTTTCACTGAACTCCTGGGCACGGTTTTTAGGGTACAAACTCCTGCCTTTCTGAGCAAGCAGCAAAGACATCCAGCAGAAACAAAAATTAGGTTTCAATGATCGTGCAGATTGCAAATTAACCCCATTTTTGGTACTCTCCAGCTATTGTTCTCCCCAGTGAGCACTGGCCAGGCCAAACCCTCGCCCAGATGCTGTCTGGAAAGGTATTGATCTGTTTTGCAAAGCTAAAAAGCCAATTATGGTCTCACAGCCTGCAGAATATGTTTTATATTTCCACTTAGAGCACTCCATTTCCACTGCACTGCCTAATTGAGAATTGACTGTAGCTCATTCTGCTTCCCACATTCCCCCTTTTCTTTTTTTTTTTTTTTTTTTGTCTAAACAAGGATGAGTTCTCTGCTAGGAATTCTCAGCAGTGTTTTGTTTTTTTTTTGGTGCTGCTGTGGAAGGGAGAAGGCAGCTGATGACTCAAAAGGCCAACCCAGAAACAGATGAAAACTCTTTGGCATCACAGATGGCAAGAAGTGACTTTTTCCACAGTTTTAAACTAAAAGAGGAGAGGTTTAGATTAAATATTAGGGAAAAAAAATCCTTCCCTGTGAGGGTGGGGAGGATCTGAGCTGGAATTCCCAGAGAAGCTGTGGCTGCCCCTGGATCCCTGGAAGTGTCCAAGGCCAGGTTGGATGGGGCTTGGATCAACCTGGGACAGTGGAAGGTGTCAGGGTTGGAACTGGATGAATTTTAATGTCTCTTTCCACCCAAGCTATTCTGGAATTCCATGAACTTTGCCATTTAAATGTCAATTTTTCACCTCGATGTGTGTCCTCCCCTCCCTTTGGACCAGAAAAAAACCTGCAGAGCGAGGTCGAGCTCCGAGGAGATTTTAACCAGGCCCAAGAGTTAGGAAAAAAACTTATTTTAGGTTGATTACCTCTTAAATTCTACAAAATCCAACCTGGAATTAGGGAGATTAACTTGGAGTCAAGGTAGCAGCCAGTGACTCTCACGTTTCTTTGATGGTGGCGTCAGGTATTCCTTTGATGTGATCCTGTCTATTCACAAGGAATTCCCCACAGCTCCAGCACTCAAATGGGGAAAAAAAGAGTTTGGTGGTTCAGAGATTTCCCCGAGTCAAGGTGCTGGGCTAGAAAAGCTTCCTGCCGTCCTTTTCTCTCCACCATCCCTTTGAGATTCTGCCATGTCCTCAAGGAAACCCTCACCCCCTGTTCCTTTCCCCGAGCGCTCAGGCTGCAGCAAAAGGGATTTCCTCTCCCAGGTTCCCTTGGGCAAAGCCCGGGAAATCGCTTCTCTCGTTTCAGGATCTGGTTTCACACCGATGCCATCCCTCCTCACGTCCATTTTACATGAGGAGAGGGGGTTTTTTTTTTACCCTTGAGCTCCGGGAATCTGGCTCATCTGAAGGAGAACCTGGAATCGCTGGAGGGGTCAGAGATTTTTATCTGAGGATTCTGTTCTGCCTTCCAAGCTGAGCCCTGGTCAGGCAGGGGCTGCCTGCACTGGCGTGGATTCCTGGGAGACTCCAAACCAAGGTTTGGCATCCCAGAAGGGACACCGGGACCGTGGTCACCTTTTCCTGCCACCCCCACCAAAACCTGGGGGACACTCCAAGCTGGGACACTCCAAGCTGGTGTCCCCCTACTCCAGGGATTCAGCTGAAGAGCTGAATTCCCATTCCCAAAAGGTGGAGAACACAACACAGAACCTCGGAGGGAGAATTTTTGGGAAGGGACAGCAAAAAAAAAAAAAAAAAAAATGGGGAAAAGAAGCAGCAGAGCACGGTTGTGGCAGTGGGAGGCTGGGTCAGCACCTGAAACGTGGCACCTGCGCTGCTGAATAATCAGCTCAGACGAGCCTGAGCACCAGCAATTACCTGATTACCTGCAGCTTAAGTGATATTAAAGGCAGATCCTTGATAAACAGGCAAATCTCGGAGAATTCCTCTCTCTGCTCGCAGTAATCCTCTGTAATTGCGGATAAATGGCAGAGATTTGCGAGGAGCGCTCGCCGTTAAAACGTTCTCCGCAAATGGAGAGAGGCTGGGATCTCACTCGGGAGAGGCAAGCAGGGAGTGTATTTATTTATTTATCTAAATTTTTTTTACTTTTTTATTTATTTAGGGTATTTATTTAATATCTGCTGTTTCGTGGTTCTCAGGTGAAAATCTCATCTGCAGCTCGACGCTGTCCCAGCGTCGAGCTGCAGATGAGATTTTTCACCTGAGAACCGTCTCACTTTTTTTCACGGCACCAGGAGGATCTTAAACCTCACAGAAACGGCGCAAGAGAATCCTAAACCTCGCAGAAACCTCTGGGAGCTTCTACATAAAACCACAGAGCACGGCTGGAAAAATAATACCAGGACTTTCGTTCGCAGCGGGAAGAACTTGGCGAAAATATTCAGTTAAAAACCTCAAAGAACTCGACCCAAAAGTGATGTCGGAGTTGGGAAACATCCCACAGAAAAGAGGGTGAGGTGGAAACTGGGAATCTCTTTGAAGTAGTGCAGTACCCAAGGAGCAGGGGACGCGGATTAAAACGTGATTCATGAGAGGTTTGGTTTTTTGTTTTTTTTTTTTTGCTCAGGGAGCTCCGGGGAACAGCCCGGAGGAGCGATGGGTCCGGCTGAATGAATGAATCACTTTTTGGGAAAAAATTCCCGGAGCGTTTGGCCAAACATTCCCTGGGCTGATTGTTCCTGGGTGCAGGGATCATCTTGGCTCTGTTGGGTATTTGTTTAAACACAAGCCGGGTGTTTTTTTTTGTTTTGTTTTGGTTTTTTTTTTTGGTTTTTTTTTTGTCGTGGCTCCGTCGGTTCCCAAGGTTTTTTTTATTTGGAGGAATTTCCTGCTCGGCGTGGATTCTCCAGGGAATGTTCCAGAGGATCCATTACCTCTTTGCCGGGCTCGGATTAATGACAGCATCGCCCTTTTTCACGTCAGCTGGGCTGAGGTGACCCCCAAGGAAGCGTCACAGGTGGAGTTTCCAGGGATTTACAGAAGAAAAGGATGAACTCTTCCCATCCTAACCCTCCCCGGGCTTGTTCATGCACAGAAAACTGACTCTGGATCGAAGATTTGGAAAATCTCTGATGCCAGGGGTGACAAAGGAAAACGTGTGGTGGCTCTAACACAGATCCATGTGCAAAATTCTGGGAGGGAAATGCCTTTTTTTTTTTTTTTTTTTCCCCCCCGTGTGGATAATCCTGGGAGCCCAGGGAGTGATGGATCCAGGCAGTGCAGACACAAACACCATTCATCACTTCCATGCTCTGACATCCTCTTACACCTGCCCTGCAATTCAATCATCCCAACCTCCTGCCAGCCAGGAGATCCTGGGAGCGATAGAATTAGATTTCATCACGATTCATTCATCCTTCCTCTGCCCTGCTAAACCCACACATCCCTCTCAGCCTGGCAAACTCGATTTCAAAACCTCTTCAACAACAAACCCTCGTCCCCATTCCTCCCGTTCCAGCCCTGTGACATTCCCCCAGGAGTTCCAGCCTGACGAGTCGTGCAGAAAAGACACAAAGCAGCGACGGCTTTGGACCAAAACCAACGCCCCCCCCCCCCAAAAAAAAAAAAATTAAAAAAAAAAGAGCAGGAGAGCGGGTTTGCAGCCAGAACAGACAGAGTGAGCCTGCAGAGGACATGAAAAAACCACAGGGAAAAGAAAAGAGATGAAAATCCCTTTACCCCTGCCTGGCCTGCTCGATGGGGTGCTCGTTGTCCAGGTAGTTGTAGCGGACGGTGTCCGTGGGGTTCCTGTCGGATGAACGCCAAGGAGGGATTTCTTTTTTCCCCCTGCTCGTCCCCTGTGCTGCCAGGGGATGTTTTCTCTCTGGGATTTTGATTTTTACTGGTTGCACATCGATAACGATGAACTCGTCCTTGGAAGGAGTCTAATTGGAGAGAAGATGGAAAGAAGAAAAGAAGTTTGTTTGTTTTTTTTTTTTAGCCCATGGTGAAAAATCAGATTGGTCTAAATTTAGAGTTCTATAATTAGGGATTAACTCAAAATTGGGCTCCATTATGGTCAGTGGAGAGAAAGAGGCACCTTGTCAGTGCTTGTCACCACCCAAGCCCTATAATCCATATTAAGATGAGCTGAGCTGCTGTTGAGATGCATCAGCTTCTCTCTATCGACTACAGAGAGCCTGTGGGAGACTGTGCTTTAAATTAAATCAAATTATTAGACTTGGCTTTGAATTCAGGGCAGGAGGATCTCAAAAAGATCAAGAGGCAGAGGGGTTGGGACCCCCAGTTTTCCCAGTGGGGACAAACACCCGTGGAGAGGCTGCCTGGAGCAGAGGCCAGGCAGAGCCAGAGAAATAAATTAGGTATTTAATAAAAATATTAAAAAGGCCTTCAAAGGATACACCTTGGCCAGTACAAGAGCCTCCACCCAAGATGGATGACAGGTCACAGGTTTTCACATTTTTATAAGTTTTGGTGCATTTCCATATTGGGGTTAATTGTCCAATTACAGCTGCAGGTAATGAAGTCACATTCTCCCGGTTTGCTCCCATCAATTCCCTGTTGTTTGTATTTTCTTTTTTTTTTTTTTTTTTGGGCCTGAAGCTGTGACAGTGTCCTTGTTTCTGGGGCTGGAAAAAGGATTATTTTGGCCAACCAAACTGTGAGGAGAACTTTCTGACACTCTGCATGAAGTTCAGAGTCATACAGTAACACAGCACAGAGCCTGGATTGTTGCTCTCTATTAAAGAGCTGAGCAGTTGTAAAGGCACATCGGTCTCCAAAGGCAGAAAGTCCCAAATGTTCAAGTCTGTGCTAAAAGATTTTGGAATAGAGTCCCAAATAGAAATAAAGTCCCAAATGTTAAAGTCTGTGCTAAAAGATTTTGGAATAGAGTCCCAAATAGAGTGAAAGTCCTGATGAGAAGTAAAGTCCCAAATAGAATGAAAGTCCCTGTTAGAAATAAAGTCCCTATTAGAAGTAAAGTCCCAAATAGAAATAAACTCCTGGTTAAAAGTAAAGTCCCCAATAGAAGTAAAGTCCCCATTAGAAGCAGAAGCAGCTCCTGAGAGGGCCAGAGCTGCAGGCTGTAGCAGAGCCCTGAGCAGAGGCTGTGGCTGGGGCAGAGTCTCCAGAGGCAGATGCTCCCTGCTCTGTTCTTTTGTTCTTTTTTTCTTCTTCCTCTTCACGTGGTGCTAGTGATGGTGATGATGGTGGAGGAAGAGAGAGCCAGAGAGCTCTCACTCCAATACACAGATTCTTATTTACCAATTACCCACTGAGCCAAACCCACAACTCTGAAACGTTTCTTCTAAACCTATGAGAATTCTAGTTTTTTAATAGGAAAGTTTACATATATATGGCCTGTCTGTTCTGTCTGAAGAATGTAAGCAATATTCTTACTATATTTTTATTATGCCTAAAACTATGTTTTTGAGCTCTCACTGAGACTGGTTTTTGAGGCTTGCTTTCTCCACTAATACCTAAAACTATGTTTTTGGGCTCTCACTGAGACTTGTTTTCAACAGAATTTCTAGGACTTTTTTACTTTTTAAGTCACTTAAACCATCTCCACACTTAAACTTACTTATTAAAACTCGAGCTTACACCCCTATTTCATATCATTTCTCTTCACACTTGGCACCTTGAAACATCTCAGAGGAGCTCGGGACTGCGTTTCTCCGGCTCCCACCTTTAAAAAGGTGCGAGTTAACCCTTGAGCAGCCGGCACGGGCGGGGCCGTACCTTGGCAGCGCTCAGGCGCAGCTCCTTCACCTTGTCCAGGTAATGATTTTTCCACACTCCCTGCTCGAAGGGCGTGGGGCAGAAGTTGATGAGCCACCCGAAACGAAGGCACTTGAGCATCCACAGCTGATCCAGCTCTGACAGGTATTTCCAGTGCCAGCTCACCTGTGAAATGTCGGGCAAGGTGAAAAGCTTGGGGTTTTTAAAGCATCCCGAGATTTTTTTTTTTTTTTTTTTTGGATTTCGTATCTTTAAATGGGTTCAATTCTTCTGTGTTTAAACTTTTGATTCAACCTTCCAAGGCCTTTATGATGTGAGGCCCTTCCAACTCAAGATATTGTGGGATTTAAAACATTTTCCAACCTATTCCTGAGCACGGAGAGTTTGAGTTGCATCCACCTGAAACGCTGGATAAAGTTATTAAAGCGAGGCTTAGCCAAGCTGAGATTGTGATATATTCTTAAATAACATGGAATATTACATTAGGGCAGCAATAATATCACTGCAAACTCAACTTATTAATTTAAAACCACTTTGGGCAGCATCTCTCACAGCATTTTCTAATTTTTGGAGTCTTAATCATTTCTCTCCGAAGCCCGTCTGTAATTTTCTGCTTTTCCACATCCAACACTTGACCCTCAGGCATTTTAAAGGATCCTTCAAGGATCAAGTGTTGTTCTTTGCAAAAGCACAAACCAAAGAATGAGAATTCTTTCTCAAAGAATTGAGGGCTGTGCACACAGCGCAAAGCGTGGCAGAGGAATGTGATTTTCAGCAAGAACCTTTCTGGGAATAATCAGCCTTGAAAATGCCATTTTTAAAAAAGCTTTAGAGCCGAGCATTTAAAATTATTCTTCATTTCCATGAATCTTGGCCAATCTGGCTTAATTTAGGATCTGAGGAAAGAGCATCACTGAACATTTGGCACGGAATTTACACCTTTTGTCTTCACAAAAATCAGTGTTATCCCTTTTTTTTTTTTTTTTTTTTTTTTTTAAACTGCTTTGCCCTGACTTTCTGAACCTTAGGCAGGTGTTTGGCTTTATTTATTTTTATTTTTATTTTTATTTTTACCTGTGCACATCGACAGAGGCTCCGTGGGTCCAGGAAGGAGAAGATGTACAAGGACAGGACCCGAGGGAGCCTCGTGGTAAAATCCACAGCCTCGATGGGAACTCGAGCCTGGAGCTGCTTGGCACAAAATTTCTGCTGGGACAGGGAGCAACGTTCCAGCAGATCCAGCAGGATCCTCCTCCTCTGGCCGTCTGTCCACTTGTCAAACTGAAAAAAAAAAAAAAAAATTAAAAAAAAAAATTAAAAATAAAATTAAAATGAGGCGTTTCAGGTGCAGAGAAACCAGAGGTTCAGCTGGTTAAAATAAAGAAATAAATCGAGGCAAGAGCTGCTGGTGACTCACTGAAGGAGCAGAGCTCTGGGAACAAATGGAGAGGCCACAAAAAAAAAAAAAAAACCAAACAAAAAAGCCTCTGAACTCACAGAATTTTTTTTTTTTTTTTTTTAATCCTCAAAAAATGGCCCAAGCCAGGACTTCCCACTCTGCTCCTGGGTCCAGCTCCAAGGCTCAGCTTCTCCAAAAAAAAAAAAAAAAAAAAGGAGGAGGCTCAGATGGGTTTTTACAGTGAAATGGCCCCAGTGATGAATTCTCTGCTGATTCCTTCTTCTCCCCTCACACTTCCCTGGCCCCTGTTGGATTTTAGAAATTTTTTGGAGCATTTTTTGGTATTGATTTTTTGGAGCTTTTTTGATTTGAAGGAGAAAGATTAAAATTTGAATGGTGAAGTTGAAATTATGGGGGTGTAGGGAAGTAAAGTGTGTGTTTTTCTACGTTAAAAAGTTTTAAAGTTGAGGTTTTTTTATAGTGTAGTAATAGGTAGGGGACAATATGGAAGATTTTGGGAGGTGGGGTTTTTAATTTTTATTTTTAATGGGTTTTAAATAGTAGTTTTTGCTCGGTTAGTGTTATATTCAAGCTTATGAGAATTAAATTATTAGGTTAAAAGGATAAATAATACAAGTATTAATTATCTTCCTCCATTTTCCTCACTTCTAGCAGGGCCCCCACGATCTCACAATTTATAAAATATTTTTTCCCTCTCAATCTCACAGCTCGGGCCCACGAGGTTTTTTTCTTGTTTTGGGGTTTTTTNAAAAAAAAAAATTAAAAATAAAATTAAAATGAGGCGTTTCAGGTGCAGAGAAACCAGAGGTTCAGCTGGTTAAAATAAAGAAATAAATCGAGGCAAGAGCTGCTGGTGACTCACTGAAGGAGCAGAGCTCTGGGAACAAATGGAGAGGCCACAAAAAAAAAAAAAAAACCAAACAAAAAAGCCTCTGAACTCACAGAATTTTTTTTTTTTTTTTTTTAATCCTCAAAAAATGGCCCAAGCCAGGACTTCCCACTCTGCTCCTGGGTCCAGCTCCAAGGCTCAGCTTCTCCAAAAAAAAAAAAAAAAAAAAGGAGGAGGCTCAGATGGGTTTTTACAGTGAAATGGCCCCAGTGATGAATTCTCTGCTGATTCCTTCTTCTCCCCTCACACTTCCCTGGCCCCTGTTGGATTTTAGAAATTTTTTGGAGCATTTTTTGGTATTGATTTTTTGGAGCTTTTTTGATTTGAAGTAGAAAGATTAAAATTTGAGTGGTGAAGTTGAAATTATGGGGGTGTAGGGAAGTAAAGTGTGTGTTTTTCTACGTTAAAAAGTTTTAAAGTTGAGGTTTTTTTATAGTGTAGTAATAAGTAGGGGACAATATGGAAGATTTTGGGAGGTGGGGTTTTTAATTTTTATTTTTAATGGGTTTTAAATAGTAGTTTTTGCTCGGTTAGTGTTATATTCAAGCTTATGAGAATTAAATTATTAGGTTAAAAGGATAAATAATACAAGTATTAATTATCTTCCTCCATTTTCCTCACTTCTAGCAGGGCCCCCACGATCTCACAATTTATAAAATATTTTTTCCCTCTCAATCTCACAGCTCGGGCCCACGAGGTTTTTTTCTTGTTTTGGGGTTTTTTGGTTTTTTTTTTTGTTTTGCTTTGTTTTGTTTTTTTTTTGGTTTGGTTTGGTTTGGTTTAGTTTTGTTGTTTTGGGTTTTTTTTGTTTGGTTTTTTTTGGGGGGGGATGAGATGGTTGGAGAGGCTTTTCCTGAGGGGCAAATCTGGATTTTAGATTTTTCTTTGTCCTTTCTTATTGTCTCATCCAGGGTGGCTGCTGGGAAGGATAAAGGTTTGACAGGGAGGTTTCATAGATATTTATGTGTAACAGGAAGATCTTTGAACGTGGAATGTGAAGAAGGAATAGAAATGATGGCGAGTTTTGATATAGAAAAAAAAAAAAAAGAATTGCTGAGCCAGTCTGACTGGATAACTGAGAAGGCAAAGAGCAAATGGGTTGAAAGTGGTTTTTATGACTTAGAGCAAAGGATAAATCCACCTCAAATAAAAGATGTTTTTACCGAGCAAAAAGATTTTCAAGCAGAAAGAAAGATTTCAACATTTTCCACTGCCAGAAAACCGAAAAATAACTTTTAGCTGAAACTGTAACATAGAAACTTCTAGTGATTGGAAAATAGTAACATGAATATGGTGATGTTGGTAGTTATGATAGGCTGTAGGTAATTGTAAAAATATTAATTAGTTGTGGTGTTTTAAGATGCTCTACAAAACAAAGTCTGTAATGCTGGGAGCTGGGTGAAAAATAAAGAATTTAAAATGAAAATAAAACAGGGACGATGCCCAGAAACCGAGCGCCGTGTGGGGCCAAACTCCGAGGACACGACACGATTTTTATTTTATTTTTGGGGGGTAGGAGCAGCAGGAATTGTTGGTGGGAATGGCAGGAGGCAGGGTGGGATGGTTGGAGAGGATTTTCCTGAAGGGGAAATGTGGATTTTGATTCGTGCTGTCTCACCAGAGGGGTTGGTGACAGGTTTTAAACTCAAAAGGGAGAGATTTTAATGGGATATTTGGGGGAAATCCATCCCTGGGAGGGTGGGCAGGCCCTGGAATGGAATTCCAGGGAAGCTGTGGCTGCTCCATCCTGGAATGTCCAAGGCCAGGCTGGAGTAAACTGGGATACTGGAATAGGATGAGCCTTAAAACCACCCCAGCCTCTGGAATTCTGGGGAAACTTTTCCCAGTTCCTTTCCATGCCCAGGCAGCCCTGGAGCCACCTTCCCACAGCTCTGCGAGTCACATCCCTGTCCTCATCTCTCCCCGGGGACAGTTAGGTCCTTCGATAAATGTGACTTTCAAAAAATAAAAATAAAGATAAAGATAAAAATAAAAATAAAAATAAAAATAAAAATTAAAATTAAAATTAAAATAAAAATTAAAATGAAAATTAAAATAAAAATAAAATAAAAATAAAAATAAAACTTAAATAGAAATAGAAACAGAAATAGAAACAGAAACAGAAACAGAAATAGAAATAGAAACAGAAATAGAAATAGAAGTGCAAATAGAAGTATAAATATAAATATAAATATAAATATAAATATAAATATAAATATAAATATAAATATAAATATAAATATAAATGCAAGTAGAAATAGAAATAGAAATAGAACTGCAAATATAAGTACAAATACAAATATAAATATTAAAATATATAAAAATAAAATATATAAAAATATACTAAAAATGTAAAAATATATGTAAAAAAAATAAAAATATATAAAAATATAAACAGAAACATTAATACAAATAAACAATATTTTAAAAAACAAGAAAAAAAGTTCTTCCAGTGTTTTTTCATTATTATAGGTGGATAAACTGTTTGTTTAATGGCCAGTGTCCCTTCTTTTCCCTGTCAGAATGAAGCAGATTAGAAATGCAGATTTATTTTTTTTCCCCTCTGATTCCTCCCCATCCCAAATCTGTGCTCAAACGGAGAGCTGGCAGAATAATAGTTTAAAATTCACTGTGCAGGTGAAGGAAATTGAGAAGCATTTTCTCTCCTCATCATTTTGAAGAGCTCCTCCTTTATTAATTTATTTTCCCTTGGCTGAATTCCAATGCTGGAGAATAAACTGCAGGAAGAAA